GCCTCATCTCTTTGGTTCCTCTTTCTGCTATCTCGTCTCCATTCTCCAGACTCTTTAGACTCCACCCTCTTGTTTTCCCTTTCTCTCATCCGTCCCGTCTCCACTCTCCATACTTTCCGATCTCCACCCTTTTTTCTTCCCCTTTTCTCATCTTTAGTAAGTTGCTTCCATCCTTCACCCTTCCTACATCAAGTAAGTTTTTATGGGTTTTTAGTTTCTCTTTTCTCTTCTTTTCCTTTTGTTCTATGTTCTCTTAGCTTGAAATTTTGTGGGTTTGGTCGATGAGTTTTTTTATGTTGGTTGTTGACTTTTTGCTGCTTAATTTTTTTTTAGGTGGTGATTTGTCGCTGGTTGCTTTTATTTTTGTGTAAATTTGGGTCTTTTTTTGGTTTGTTGTTGCTTGTTCAAGGGTGGTTTGTTGGGTAAAAAATCATGATGAATGATGATTCTCGCTGCATCATGAATTTTGCACTATTTAAGCATGTTCCGTTCCTTTGCTTTGATCCTTAAACATCCCAATGTGTCTAAATATATTTAAATTGACAACTAACACCAAAAAGGCCAAGAAACCATCTTAAAGAAAAAGAACAAAAGAGATAGAAAAATTAAGAGCTTTTGTGCCTGCAGTCCAAATATTTATTTCTTTTGTGTGGGAGAATAAACCTCATTTCATAGGGTGGTGATTTCCTTTTTGTTGCAATTCTGCAAAGGGTCATTGGTTTATCTTTTTGACAGCATGAAGAGCAGGCAAAAGTCTTTGTATAGCAATTCATGGACACATGAATAAAATAAAAGATAATACTTATATTATTAACTTTCTTAACCTTCCCTTTTGCTTTCTAAATAAAAAGATAAAATGTTTCATACATTAAAGTAAACAGATTATTCCATTTACCATCCCCTTCATAAAGTCAAATGCACTCGTAAGTTTGCTTCATTTTCATAATTGAAATGATTAAGTCCTTTCAATTTTAAGACCATATTGATTTTCAGTAAACAAAAAGAGAATAACCAAATACATAATCTATTTCCAAGAAGCCATGGAAGTAGTAGCTTGATGTACTATTGACCCTTATTACACGAAATGGCTTTTTCTTTTCCTAACCCGTTCTTTGATATTTCAAAAGAGATAATGAGTAGTAGATGGATAAATAGGAAGTGGGAGAATAGAGGAAAAGATGTTATTGATTATCTTTGCTCATGTTTTTTTAATATGTGCTACTAGTGATAGATTCTTTAATAAATTCTTCATTCTTGAATAACATATTTGCTGATTAATTAATTCTTTTTGAGTGATAGATTGAAGATTTCAATGGCAAGTGAAAGCGAGAATCCAGCTCCTACTCCTAGTGATGCTGCTACGCAACCTACACCTATTGGCATGCCGTCATCGTCACCAACACCAACTATACAACAAACTATAATCTCCACTAATAAAATTGAAGCTGTCAATTTTAAGAAATAGAAGGCACTTCCATCGAGGTTTGAAGTTTGGAAAAACTTTACCAGATTTGTCAATGATCAAGGTGAACAAAAGCTAGATGCAATTATTATGATAGGGTATTTTCTGCTAATATTAAATATAATGGTACAATTTCATTAAAAAATCACATGAATTCTTGCAAAAAGTTTCGTAATTCCACTAATGATTCTACTTAAACTGAGTTAACTTTTCAAATGGGCGATCGGTCAATAAGAACTTGGAAATTTAGTCAAGAAGCCATTAAAAAGTCTCTAGCTAAAATGATCATTAGAGATGAGTTACCTTCAGATTTGTAGAAGGGAAAGGATTTAAGGAATTTGCATCAACTTCATGTCCTAGATTTATTATGTGATCACGATGGACTGTTGCTAGAGATTGCTATAACCTTTTTGTTAATGGAAAGAACCATTTCCATGAATATAGTCTTTAATCTAAGAAATTTCAACTTAACAAATATAACTTAAAATATTAAACAAAATAAAAACATAAAAAATGAAAATGAATAAATAATTGCAAAGGTGGAACTCAGCTTTTATAGTTGTAATAAGAGGTTTGTCATGTCCAAAGTAAGCAAGTCAGAATGATGAATTAATTTTTTATAATCATCGGTAACTTCATATCTCTGTTTTTCAATATTTTAATCAGAAAACACTAAATCAACATATTTTTGCCTTAGCTAAAGTAAAAAAATAAGTTAGTAACCAATTTCAAATTTCTTTACTATTATAAATAGAAGAAGAAAGAAATTATTTAGACATTTTATATTATTTTATTTTAACGTAATACAAGTTATTCATCTAAATTTGAATTTAGATATGAAATTTTTACTAATTTAGTTTTTAGAAAAGGAGAATTCAAACTAAATTTTTGCCAAAATGATAAATTAATTTACATGTTCTACAATCAAGTAAAAAAATATTTATATATATTTTTCAACCCGCTAAATCTTTTACACTTCAATATTTGGTTTATTAATAAACATATCAATAATAATCTACTCAAGCAGTATAGGGACTTCTCAAGTCTATTCATTGCTCAAAACTACAGACAAAATGAAATGAATAATCAAATAATATATCTACAAAATTAATGTAAAAAATAAAGACTCATCTACAAGAGGAAACTAACAAACACAAAATATGAATTACTATAAGAAACTGCAAGAGAAAATTGTGAAAAAGGTATTGCACATGGCTCACACATTTATTTAGGCATACAAGCTGTCTTCATCCATAAGACACCCTACGTTTTCGGACAATGCACTTCGTATTGGATAGTTGTTACGTGTCTAACCGGTTTGTCTGTAACTTGGACTGCTTTTGTCATCACACTCGTGGAGACATTTATTGAGTTGTAGATGGTGCCTGATTTGTGGATGGAACTACAAATGGGGATGGGCAATTTTTTCTAATATGCTCGTACCTCTTGAATTGCAAACATCCCGCATGAATTTGCTTGAGTTGGTTCATATGTCTATTGAAATCGAAAACCTTATAGCAATCTCGAGCAAGGGTGAAAATCATAAAAACATCGTTGTGCTTAAACTTGTTTTCAAAGTTTTTCTTCAAGTGGTAACTGCATAAACCGTAGTGGGCTTTTGGGTATGCATTTTGGATTGCTTTCTTAATGCCGAGATGCTGATAAGAAATGAACATAGTGTTTTTAGGACAACCAACCTCATCACGCAACTTGCTAAGAAACCACGTCCACGAGTCTTCGTCCTCAACATGGCCGATGCCAAACGCAACTAGATACACGCACTCATTCGCATCTTTGCATACAAAGACAAACAAAACACCCTTGAACCTGTTTTTCAGACGTGTCGCATCAATTGCAATTGTATGATGCATTACATCCCTAAACCCCGAATACATACCCCATATGACAAGTAATAATATTTGAATCTTTTGGCTTCATCAATAGCCACTGTAGTGATTGTGTCAGGATTTTCTAGTTTCCGCATATAAAAATACGTGGGTAATAGTTGAAATGGCTCCTTCAGGAGACCGACAACAAGCCTTTTCGCATACTCCTTCGCTTGCTAGGTCTTACCATACAAGCATTCCAATCCCCACTGAACCCTCATCTCGCTGATTATGTCCTTAGGTCTCAATGCTACTTCATTAGCCTAAAGCTTGTGTGACATAAGTTCACCAATTATCTTCATACTCGTAGTTAGAAATCGCCCTTGCAAACCATTGACAGTACATGTGTGTACTTTGTGGAATGTCCGAACTTACCAATATTCTCCTTCAACTAACTTCGTTACATGCACAACGAACTTGCATGCCTTGTTCTTGTAAACAACCTCATAACGACCTTTACATGACTCTTTTACTCTTATCCCAAACTGCTCTTTTAGAGCCAATATGTTCAAAGCTCGTTTCAACTTAGCCTTCGACGAAAACATTCTTCCTTTGTATAAGCGATGATTAGCACATGTCAACTCCTTAGTGGTAATTGTTTGGAGGGAGAACCTTTCTGCACCTAGAATTACCTACGTATGAGATATCCCTGCATTTTTCCTTTCGTGATAGTTGTCATCAACAATGTATCAAAGGAACGAATCCCATTCTTACCAGCAATGGGGTTATTGTATATGGGGTTATCACTTTGAACTTCTCCTACATCAACACCTCCAATAGGTTCCATTTCGCCTTTAACATTATTACAAATTGGAATGTCACTATCATAAAGCCAGTCATCGTTTGAGCTGTCATCATGCCATTCATCAAGCCTATCATTTGAATTGTCATCAAATTCATCAAATCCTCATTTCCTCATCCAATGTAGTATTATCCTCGAGCGTCGTAGTGTCACCCTCCAATGTCGTAGTGTTGTCCTCAAGTGTCGTATTCTCATTTGAAAATGCCATTACACCTTCTATAGTTTCACCCGATCATTGAATTTGTTGGAAAAAAGCAAGTAATTGGTTTAATGTACACCTTGATTGGAATTGTGCAGTCAATTGTTTTATGAATGTTGTGTGTTTACCGGGCTGCACAAACTCTTGTGCATACGTCAATTGCCATTTTGTGGGTTATGGACCTAATGCTGGGGTATATGTGAAGCATTGTAAATATCATTTTGATTGAGCTGATTACCATGTTATTCACTTTTTTCATTTGACATAACATTTGTTTGGCGCCCCTTAATGCTGACGTACACAGCTAGAACATTCCTCTGTTCTAGCAAAATTAATGCAAGATCTTTATCATCCTTGATAATTGGGCGTGATAACTTTCTGAGTGTACTGATCAATACAGGTAACTTAATCGCGTTAATTTCTAGGTTAACCCCAATAATATCTTCAACTAGTTTATCAAGCCTGTAAACGACAAATCACTCCTAACCCCCCACATTCATGACTCACCACCCTTGTAAATGCCATCCACCCACTGACCACTCTATCTAATCACAAGTTGCACAATTGAAACCCCACTATAATTTTGAAAACATAAAATTTGTCAATCATTTAACACATTACATGCCGTGATCTAAAATTTATCAGTCATGTTGTTATATACTATTTTTAAAAAATGTTACACACCATGCTCAAAAATGTTACTTACAAGTTCTAAAATTGTTACATGCCATGTTCACAACATGTTACATGCCGTCTGCTTTATAAATGCATGGTGTGTAACAACTCTGGGTAATGTTTCTAATCCATGTTCTAATTTACACAAAAAGTTTCAAAAATTTATGTGTTACAATAATAAACCCAATAACATACTTTGATGTCATCTCTGCTATAGGGTTTGTTTATCGATGACAATATGGCTAGATACCGAGAGATAGATTACAGCACGATGACGATGGTGCTCAACAAAGAGTTGATTGAGCTCATACAGTTCAGAGAGTTGAGAGAGCTAATGACTATGGTGCTTAATAAAGAGTTGACAAAGTTGATATAGTTCAGAAAGCTGAGAGAGAAAGATGAGCGAGCTCAAATAGCTGAGTTTTCATTTCTATTTTTTCTTTGACGGGAGGGAGATATCATAAGCTTAATTTGCCACTATATTTTTAAGGGCATTTTCGTTGACTCATGTTTCTTTTTGACTAAAAACAGATAACTTTATATAGGTGATTATTTCTAAAATTAGTTACATAAGGTTTATTTCTCACAATTTCCTCTTGTTTATACTCTTAATACTTTTATTTTGAATAAGAAGTATGTTTGATTGGATGGGTCCTACACTGAGTATTCATCTCTAGGTCTATAGGCCCAATTTGAAAGCCCATGTTCTTTGGAACCCAAAATATTAGTGGATCTCACCCTACCCAGACGCATCAACCGTTTGGAATTGGAAGCTGTTGTGCCAGCTTTTCTTTCCAGCCTTGCTTTCTCCTTCTGCTCCAGCTTTTCGGCCTCCCCTGCGTCTTAGGGAGCTCCGTAGTCACAGTCTCTTCAAGAATCCCCTCACCAAGTAGAATTCGCTTGGCTTTTCTACAAACAAGTCAGAACAATGTCTCTACACGACCAATACGACACCGGAAAAGAAAAAGAAAAAGAAGAAGAGGAGGTAGATGAAGAAGAAGAAGAAGAAGAAGAGCTCTCCGTCAGCGAAAACGACGACAGTTTTGACGAGGACATGGAAGCCCTAAAACAAGCCTGCCTCCGCACCGGCGCCGACCTTAACGATCTCCAAATCGCCGCTTCCGACAATGACCGACCCTCCACTTCGGACGCCGCCGTCTCCTCGGCTGCTTTGGCGTATTCCGGCAGCGAGGATGATATGGAAATTTTCCGGAGTATACGGAGTCGTTTTGCGCTTTCGGTGGACGTTTGTGAGCCTCTGTCTATTCAGCCTCCCTGCTTTCTTCCTCCAATTTCTTCTGATGACGATGCTGAAGATGATTTCGAGACTCTTCGCATTATCCAGAGGCGGTTTCGGGCTTATTCTAGCAATGGTAAGTCCCAATTCTCTTTGAAATTATGATTTTACTGAGTGGCGGGTTGATCTTATGATAAAATATTGTTATTTCGATAACAATTTTGCTGTTTCTGATGCAAATATACGAATTTTTAATTGTTGCATTATTTCCATTGTGTTATCCTCTTAACTAAGTTGTGAATTGGGAAATTGTTTTATATATGGACGTCCCTTTCCATTTTTCAGTTCAAACTACTGCGGTTTGTTTGTGTTTAGTGTTGTTTCTTGTTTGTTAATAGTTTCTATTGTTATTTGTAATGTGGTTTTTCTTAATTTTGTGCATCTTGAATGATACTAGATATGTTGGGGAAGATGGTTTGAACGTTGAATTATTGAAGTTATATTGAAATTCTTTAAATCGGATGATGAAGTTGCAAGTTAAAATGCAACTGTGGCTTGGTGGAAGAGAACTGAGGAGAATGTCTATACCAAAAATTTTCTTTCCATTTTTTGGTTCAAAATTTGTAGTCTAAGAGCTGTAATGAAGTCTGAAACATTTTGATTGCAAACTGATTGAAAGTCCTTTCACATTGGTTGTCATCCAAATGTAGCAAAAGTATTTCTTTTTTAGTTCTAGGAGCCATTTTCCTCAAAGGTGTTTGTGAGGTTCTTTAGGGTAATCATCAAATTCGTAATTCATAATAGTGGATCTTGGGGGGCCTTAATCTTATTGATATTCAGGTTAACATGTGCTTATGTTATTGTTAGGTGTTCCTATTGATTTTTTTTTCCTTATGTAAGTTAACAAACTCTCACAATCTTTATTACTTTCTGTGTTGAATGCCATCCAGATGTGGTAAAAACAATGGTTCTTTGTAGTTTCAGAAGCATATTGTATTTTAAAGGTTTTCTGTGAGGTTCTTTAGGGAGATGGTTGAAATTCATTATTTTTACTAGTGATGAGTAATCCTTTTTGGTACTTATTTTTTTAATATCTAACTCTTATTTTAGGGCTTAAGGTGTTGTTAGCAGTTCCTATAGATCTTGTTTATATTGATATCAATCTCCTGAGCTCTTTCTCACTCTATGTCTGCAGTCCATACATTTGTGTTAAAGCATGCAAATTACCCAATGACTGCTCATTTATGCATCTTGTTTACATTAATTTTTTTTAAATAATGTTGATCAGACACTCGGGGAATCAGCACAGAGGATCACATAGAGAAAACAGAGCCCATTTATACGACTAGCATGCCCTTACAGGATGCAACAAGCAATGATATTTGTGAAAGATTTCAAGATTATGAGAAGGCTGGCAACATCTCCCATTTTTCAAGTGACAATGTGGAGATGCAGCCTGTTGGTTTAGTTCAGTGGGACCACTCACATGCCAACGAATTGTCTACACTGGCGGACAACTCGTCGAGGTTTCCAAAGTCTGCACAGCAGCTCATTGATGCTATTAAAAAGAACAGGTCTTATCAGAAGTTTCTTCGAAGTAAGTTGACTCAGATTGAATCAAAAATTGAGGAGAACAAGAAATTGAAGGAACGCGTTAAAATTCTTAAAGACTTTCAGGTTTCTTGCAAAAAAATAACAGGACGATCATTATCGATAAACAAGGATCCTCGTATACAATTAATTTCAGCAAGAAAATCACGGACTTCTAAGGATCCTGAGGTTATCATTTACCTCTTTGCCATTTTATGTCTCTTATTTCTTCTCTTCTGGGAATGCAAACTAAAGAGTTTCAAATGCTTTTTGCAGCTAATTTGTCCAAAATGCATGTCCTGTGAACAAGCTTTGCAAGATTGTAATCTTAACCATTAACAAAGCATGCTACTAAATAGAGAGTCAAACCAAACTTGACCAATAGTTATGGTGTCAGTTACCTAGTGATGTCAGAGTAGATTTTGCTTAGCAAATCATGGTGTGATTTCAATGCTTTTTATGCAACAACAGTGACTTAAGACTTTTTCTATTGAGTGGGGTTGGCTACATGGATCATATTTTTCCATTTGCTCTATTGAGTGCAGTATCTTTCATTGTATTCCCATATATCCATTGCAGTCATCACAACCCTGCTCATTTTTTGCACGTTTTGATATTTCATTGCCAACATTCAGTGTCATATAGCATTTCTAGTCTTATACTCTTACCATTGCCTTTTATATCTTTCTTATGCTAGCTTATGTTTGTTGCTATATTCTTCAAAAAGTGGCTTGTGAGCCTGTTATAGTTTTGAAATTTTAATACAGGGCATTTTGCACATTAAAATGTTTACTGCAAATTACATTAAATCTTAAGTTTCTATGTGAACTAACTAGGATTTGGTACATCGATCTTTTTTCTCTATTCCTTGCAACTCATAGTATAATGATGTGATTTTATTCGTTTTTCTTGGAGTTGGAGATTGGGGGGCTTTGCACATAGAGTTAGCTTTCCCTATAATTTATTTGATCATATAAGAAATATGCCAATGATTCTTTTTAATGATATTTTTGAGCTTCATTACAAATTTTGATGTGGTAAAACTTTAAGGTTGGTTCTATATTTAGGTACAGATTAATGGAAATTCATTGGGTGAAACACTATTTTTTCTTCTCTTTCCCACCAGCCATCTCATATTGTTAGTCCATCTTTTCATTTTCGGTTTTTCGAAATGTATGTCTATTGCTAGAAGTGGATAAGTGTTGATTATTGATTTAATTTTCTCTGTTCCACTGTATTAATTACCATATAAAAGCAAAGGAAAATCAGTGAATTGGGGGGGGGGGGGGGTGGTTTGTTCTGAAAAAGTAATATTATATATGAAAGTTCAATCACTCCTTCAACTTTGTGCTCTCAAAGGGGACTGATATATAGGATAAAGGGAGGATACTCTAGGTGGAGGACAGTATTATTTGAGGCATGGTTATACATTCAAGATATGTATGCTTTCTTCATATTAATGTTAGTTTTGCTGCTGCACCTGTGTCTTGTAGCTTTAATCACTACAAGTCTAATTAATGTCTTTGATTTTAAGTATGATTCTAACTTGTTCTTAGGTTATTATAGATTGATTTTTAGTGGTGCCATCTGCTGACGAGTATGACTTGCTCTGTTGCTGCAGGTTAATGATAAAAATGTCTCTGCTGATTATGGTCCACCAGAGAACTCTAGTGTCACTAATTACAGAATGGCTTTAACAAAATTTCCTCTTGCACTTCAGAGGAAAAAATGGTCCAGGGGAGAAAGAGAAAATCTTGTAAAGGGAATACGGCAACAATTTCAAGAGAGTGCGCTTCAAGTTTCAGTGGATTGGTTCAGGTCTGTCTTTTCAATATCTATATCATTATTTTTATGTCTGAAGTCTTATCTTAAATGGATGATGGCTTAGAATTCCCAAGGCTAAAGGTTATGATCATGTTAGACGGAATACCATAGATGGAATGCATTCTTTCTATTTTCCATTGCATGTTCCTTGCAAAACTCTTCTGATATATCACTAGAGTTTGAGCCCCATGCTGGAGATATTAAATATATGCACTGGTCAAGTGTGTTCCGGAGTATGTGATGTAGCATGTCTGATAACAAGTTTTTGGAGCATATTCATTGCATTTATAAGATTGTATGCTTATTCTTGAACATCTAAATATTCAATTAAAGGCAGAAATTAACAAAACAATGTGAAAATGGAAGATTTATTACTCTTATATTCTTCGAAACTTTAAAGACTTCTGACTACAGGGAAAATTTGTGTTGTTCAATATTCATCTAACTTTTGGATACCACTGTATTTAGAATGATACATTTCCACTCTTTTGACTTTCTTTGTTATATTTATGCATTATTCTTATGCACTTTGTGTTGCCAGTGGTGCAGATGGGTCATCTGGAGATGGGAGTAATTTGGATGACATTATAGCAACAGTCAAAGATCTTGAAATCACCCCTGAGAGGATTAGGGAATTTCTTCCTAAAGTGAATTGGGATCAGTTAGCTTCCATGTATGTCAAGGGTCGTTCTGGTGCAGAATGTGAAACGCGGTAAGTATCTCCTGAACAGTAATTTTTTTAAAAAATAAAATAAAATTGATGTTTGAAAAGCATTTCATGCATTCTTAAAGCATTTTGTTTCTTTTGAATAGTTGCATCTTTTGACTTTCTTGACTAACATAATATATAAAAAAATGTATTAGCTATATAATTTTGAAGTCTGGAAGATTTTGGTTGGTAAATGTCACATTTGGGAAATTTTACCATGCCTCTAAATGTTGGCCCAATTTGTTGGGATGCAACATGTTAAGACCTGATAACAAGCATCCACTTCTTTCTTTCTTTGTTGTCTGAAACAATTTTACATACCTAATGTTGTTCAGTTGCCTTTGAATGCTGGAAAACTTTGCTTCCTTTCTGCTTTAAAGATTATAGTGCTACTTCTGGAGTTTCTATATTTCTAATTATCTAGTGATATATTGCATTTTACCTTTTTTTTTTATTGTGCTTTTGCTGTTCTGTCATTGATTTTCGTATGTTTTTACTTTGCAGAGAACATTTTGACATTTACCTTATCTTAAATGCTTCTCGTTTGTTTTAACTTCTGTTTCATGCTTGTCGTTCCAAAAATTTTGTTTACCGCCCCCCCCCCCCCCCCCCCCCCCCCCCCCCCCCCTCCCTCTCATTCTTTTTCATTTTTGGGGTGAGAAAATACATAAAGCATGCTTGTGTTGATTGTGAGCCCTAAAACCCTCTCTGTTTCCCCCATTGGAAGAATTTCTTACATCATATCATCCTTGGACTTTTAGTTGCACAAAGGTCATGATTTCTATGAATCATGTGTTAGCAAGCCTAGCGAAATTTATACTTACTTGCGCAAGTAATGCATCCTAGGTTCATGTTTATTTTGTTTCTGGCCTCAATCTGTGCAGTTCTTAACTAGTTTTTCATGTTCATTGATTTTCTCTGAAGCATGTGTCCTTCAATAAGGCTAACTTATCAGATGTCTATAATGATGACCATCACAGACGTGTTTACAACTGTTGGGTTTGAATAGAAGTGCAAGGTTTTTGCAGGGCATAAAGGTGGGACTCCTTCATGCATGCTTTACTCAAAACAGTGTTGCTGAATGCATCTGTGTTGATTGTTGTCACAGATTTTTTGTGATGCTCACATTTCTCATGCACTTGAATGAGAATCATTGTACAAGCATTGATTGCTTTATTATGCTTTTATTTTATCTTGATTTCTTTATTGATTTTTGCAGCTGGTTGAACCATGAAGATCCCCTCATCAATTGCAATCCATGGACTGCTGAAGAAGATAAGAATCTTTTGTTTATTGTTCAAGAAAAGGGGATTAGTAACTGGTTTGACATTGCGGTATCGTTAAGATCGAACAGGACCCCTTTTCAATGCCTGGCACGTTATCAGAGGAGTTTGAATGCGTGCATACTAAAAGGGGACTGGACTGAGGAGGAGGATGATCAACTTCGTATTGCTGTTGAAGTTTTTGGTGAATGTGATTGGCAGTCTGTTGCTTCTACTTTGAAAGGACGGACTGGCACTCAATGCTCTAATAGGTCAGTTAGCCATTTCAAAGATTATTTTGGCTTGTGTTTAATTTTAGTGATACCTTTCCAGCTAATGACACAAAATTTGTTCATATTAGACTCTTTGCTAGTGAATGAATTGGCAAGGAATCTGTAAGTAAAAAAGTTTGCATTGTGCTTTAATTTTTTTTTTAATTTATGAAACGTGAATTATTTTAATATAGACTAGCTTCTCTCAATTAATTTTATCATAGCCTTTCTTATGTTACAGATCTCATCCTTTATGATTTAAACGACGAAAGGTTATAGATATCTTATTTGAACAATTCAAAATTGTAATGATATAGGAAACGGTTCATAAATCATGTGCTTCAGGCAGTAGAAAAATTTGAGAGGGGAAGCCTTTCCTTGAAATAGGAGTTACATGACATAATGAATGTATGACTGATACATAATGGCTCCCTAAAGCAGGATCTAAAGTTCCAAGTCTAACTAGAGAAAATTTGAAAATTTAGGTTTTAAGGATTTAATTTTTTGTTGGGGGCTGGCAAGAGGCTGCTTCATTGGCTATTTGTTGTTGGAAAGGGAAGGTTAGATTGCTAAAGTTAGGATCAGTAGATTTTTAGATAAGTAAATAACTAGGGGAAAGAACAATTAATACAGCAACATAGACATTACTACGATTACAATTTTTAAGATCACACCTTGATCTAAAATGTAGAATAAATCAGAAATTGCATTTTCACACAACTATTACAAAACCAGGATGCAGTGTTTTCATTCTATGGCAGTGTACATCATCATGTGATAGCTAGGAATATACAAAATGGTTTCTGTTTCTCTTAGAATTTTCTCTTAAATTGTTTTTGAAGGTGGAAATCCGGTGCATGTGAGTCTGTTTTTGGTCATTTGGGTTTGAGCTATTTATTGATTTGGTAATTTTGAGCTTCAAGCGGGTTTTGGGTTGAACAATGAATCAATTTCTTGTTTTTAGCCAATTTTGACTTCAGGCAATATATTGATAAAAAATCCATAGATATTACAATATAATTATTTAGGTACGCATAAACTTTAACAGGATTAATTCAAAGGGTAAATTTACAAGTATATTTTCAAAATATCTTGGTTAGCCAACGTAAGCATTCTTTTTTGTCAAACTATGTATTAAAAGTTTCTCAAGAAGTAAATGACTAGAGATTGCTTATGTGGGTGTTAAGTTAAAAGTCGAATGATGTAGGACAAGTGGTTAAAGTTACCCAACTTTTCTTATGAATATATCCTCCCGATGAAAGCATAGGTTCTGGCTGAAAATGGTCCTTAGCACCTGGAATTGTCTCCCTTTGCACCTAAGTCATTTCAGTTTGTATATCAAAATTGTAAAATCATGACATTGAAATGTATGTGAATGCGTAGATTAGTGTACTTCAAAGTTTTATTTGGGATTTTACATTTTTAAAATCTTGTTTATATTTTTATATCCATAGATACAAGTATATCCACATTTTAGGAGTCTCAATAATCAATGCTAATGTCTAAAACCTTGCTTCCATTCAGCTATGTCTCTTATTGTGCTGATATCAATAAATTTAGTCTAAATGTTGTTGAAATAACTATGCTGCATTTCATTTATCAAAATTATAAAATCATGACATTAAAATGTATGTAAATGTGTAGATTAGTGTCCTCTAAAGTTCTATTCAGAAATTTAGTTTTTTTAAAATCTTGTTTATATTTTTATATCCATAGATATAACTAACAATATATCCACATTTTAGGAGTTTCAATAATCAATGCTAATATGTAAAACTTTGCTTGTTTATAGCTATATATCTTATTATACTGTTATCGATAAATTTGGTCTCAATGTTGTTAAAATGTCTGTGCTGCTTTTTCAATCTAGGTGTTCATTTAATTCCATGGAATTTTTGGTTTGTCAGATGTATGTTTTCTTTTTTACATCATCTTTTTGTGACAAGGGCATTTTACATTTTCAATAGCACTCCCATGTATTCTAAATATTTTATGTTTAATGACCTGCACTATTTGATCGCATGTTGCCATCGGCGTTTCTGAGCTGAAACCTCCACTAAAATAATTCCCTGCATCACCTAATTCCATGGAGGGGTCATTTAGGACCCTATCTACTTTATGTTAGTAATGCATGATTTATATTGTTTTCATATAGGAGGGATATGGTAGAACTAGCTTCTTTTTAGGATTGTGTAACATCATTTAATTTATACTAATGAGATTTTTATAGTATACAGATGGATAAAATCGCTTCACCCAACCAGGCAAAGAGTGGGTAGATGGACGCATGATGAAGATAAGCGCTTGAAAGTGGCTGTGATGCTTTTTGGGCCAAAAAATTGGAGAAAAATAGCTGAAGTTATTCCTGGTCGAACTCAAGTGCAATGTAGAGAAAGGTATGGTCTAGCAATCTGTAGGTCTAGCAAGATGGTGTTAATTAAATAGAATTGTTAATCTTTCACTATGGTGGCAGGTGGGTCAACTCTTTAGATCCGGCTTTGAATTTGGGCAGATGGACTAAAGAAGAGGACTTGAGGCTGGAAGCAGCTATTGAAGAACATGGATGTTGCTGGTCAAAGGTTGCCGCATGTATGCCTTCACGAACTGATAATCAGTGTTGGAGGTATGAAAATGTTGATTTTAACTGTTGGTTTAGGGTGTTGTCAATGAGCCGAATTGACACAGTAAATTTGAAGGTTGAGTTGATTACCAAACTCAAGCTTGGAGCTTGGCTTAAGCTTGCTTGGACTTTATGTTTTATACTTGGGCTTGACTCAAAATAATATCTAGCTACTTGAGTTTGACTCGATTAGGCTTGATTGCCTTCAAACAAAAATTAAGTTGCAGATTGAGCTTGACTATGAGCTCGAGTTTGGTTGCATGTTTATATTAATATTTGCATATTATATATAAAAGACTATATGAATACATTAAAAATAAAAACTTCAATAAGTTTCTGAGCTCTCTTAAGCGAGTATTGAATGCTCAAACTTGGCTCATTCAGCTAGTCGAGCTCAACTTGACAGTAAACGAGTTAAGTGTAAATATTTTGAGTCGAAACCTGAATAGCATGTGAGTAGGGTTGACTTTGTTACACCTCTACTTGGTTAAGCCTCTATCATGTGTTATTTTTCCTTCTTGTTCTTGTGTATTTTTTAATACTATGTTTGCTTAATCTTTCTGAGCAACTTTTCAATCTCAACTTCTGTCTTTATAACTAGGAGGTGGAAGACATTGCATCCAAAAGCAGTGCCTTTGCTTCAAGAGGCTAGAAGAATACGTAAAGCTACTCTTATATCTAACTTTGTAGATCGGGAATCTGAGCGTCCTGCCCTTGGCCCTAATGACTTTTATATGCCATTACTTTTGACAAATTCAACTGCTGAACCTGAAAATACAAATCTTCCAAGTAAAGGAAAAAGGAAAGAAAGGTACAATGTTCAAAGCTATTTTCATTCTGTTTGTCTCTCTCTTTTTCCTTTAACATCTTGTCCTAATTCTAGTTTGATTTATCTTCTTGTATGCAGCAGGTCAGAATCTGAGAAGGAAAACGATGCAACATTAAGGTGAGTTTTTGCCCCCAATTTCATTATTCAACAGAGTGAGAGAGTTTCTCTATTTTCATTTTCTTTTTATTATTGCTACTGCAACTCTTGCATATTTATCAAAATGCTCCATTTTCCTTGGTTTAGGTCTGTTCTTACTCCAATTGCTAGTCATATGTTAATCTTTTTCTCGTGCTGTAGGCAATTCTCCGAACAGAGGACACGCAAAAGTTGTAGAAAAGGAGCTCAAGCGTGTTCTTCTGAAGTTCCAGGGATGATGCACGAGAATGAGGCTGAGGCTGCTAATGGCCATGATGCTGATAGGAAGAAACGAAGAAACCCACATTCAGGGAATAATAATTGTATTGAACCAGCACAAGGTGTGGCCTATCCAAAGAAAAGAAAGAGAAAACCACCATCAGGGAGTAATAATTGTACTGAATCAGTACAAGATGTTGTCATTCAAAGGAAAAGGAGAAGAAAACCACCTTCAGGAAATAATAATTGCAGTGACTCAGTGCAGGATGATGCTGTTCAGACAGAGAAAAGAAAACAACAGTCAGAAAGTAATAAATGCATTGAACCAATGCAGGATAATTCGTCATCTCATTCACTTTCAACATTGTGTGTGACCACCAATAATGAGGCTGAATCATTTGGTCATAGTCTTACTATAAAGAGGGAAAAACATCCCAAACCATCACCAAAACAGTGTTCCAAGAAGAGGGTACATACTGAATTTGGCGAAGAACAGAGTTCTGTCTGTTCTGAGGATTCTGAGTTTTCAGGAGCTACTGGTGGTGCTGAAATGATGCACAATAATGGTGTAGAAGTTGATATTCTTGGTGTGGATGATGCTTCTGGAAAGAAGAGTATTGCTAAACCGGGATCAAAGAGGAAAACGTGCATGAATTTATCAACCTCTCAAAGTTCAAGGATTATTAGTGCTGAAGATTTTGAGAACCTTCCATCAAGTAAAAAGGTGGAGAAGAGGGGAAATAGTTCTCTAAGGCAGCACAGCAGGAGCAGAAAGAGCAGTGAGCTGTCTGGAGCTAAAGATGACATTACGCTTGCCTCTTTTCTGCAAGATAAATTGAAGAAAAGCATTCCATCATTTGCAGATGGAGATGAGGTGAAGCTTGCTGGCTTTCTTCGCAATAAATCGAAGAACAGAAGGCATCAAATTTCTGAAAATGCGCATTTATCTATTATGAAAGGAGCGGAGCAACGTGACAAGACAAATCAAATACAATTTGGTTTGCAACATTGTGAAGCTAAAACTAACTGTGATGGAGTAATTCCTGAAAATTCTATGTTCCGCAGCAGTTTGAAGCAAACTATAATGTCTAGTGACATGAACATTGTGGGAGATGGCATTGTAAATGACACTGTTGCTTGCCATGAAGTTGTGAGAGAACCAGAAAGGATTGATCAGGATGGTAATTGTGAGGCTGATGGCATCACTCTTGTGCAGTTGCGCAAGAGATTAAAGAAGAGGGGGCCAGCTTCCTCTTGTATGAGAAGGGAATCTGAGCTGCCTTCCAATGGATGAACAAAGGCACAATGATTAGTTGCTGTTGCCCTCCACTAGGCTGTGAAAATTTTGCATGTAGGTACATTACATAGTACATTGTGCAGAGAGGAAATGAGATGGGAATTTTGCATTATAGGATGTCGCACTGGTCCCCCAGTTTTGTAATTAGATTATTTTTGATCCTTGGGCTTAGGCCAGCCGATCCCCGATATGAAGAAAAAGAGAAAGTAAAGAAGTAAAATTATACAGCCAAATGTATACTCAACATTTTGTTATCCTACCAAATGATATGATGCAGTGTCATCTTATTCCTGTTTACATCAATGGTTAAATTACTTTAACACCATCTGGTAGTAAGGAAGAAAGTGAGGAAAGAAAGTAAAAAAAAAAAATGAAAGAGAGGATGGAAAATTGTTAATTTTCTGTGTTTGGTTAAAAAAGAGAAAGCTGGAGGAGAATATGTGACCTAAGGGGAAGTCTGACTGCATTGCTGCTCCAGCTTTTTTTTTTTTTTTCTTAATTCGCAATTTGGACTTGTCAATCCAAGGCCCAAATAGTCCATTAAACCCAATTAGCAATTTAGGTTTAAATCTCAATCAATGCATTGGACTTCTAGTCCAATTCATAACCAGATCTTAACTTCAATTATTATTTTGGGCCTAAATTAAAGTTATAACTATTTAAGTTCTAGTAACATTGATCGAATAACTTTTCAATTTTAAATCATATAAATTTTAAAAACTTATCTGAAATTACTAGTAGTTATTATCCTTAATGTCTTTAGAAAATGCACACATCACAATCACAATTAAAGTTCACTCCATGAGACTAAGAACCAGTACAATGTGAAAGTCCACATTGGACTTGCACATGCTCTGATATCATTATATCCAAACTCAAACAATTATTTGGGTTTAGGTATTGAATTATCCCAAGTTAAGCAAAAAGGTCTTTAAGATAATTGGGTCTAAACCGTTTACATATGCTGACATTTATTGAAATATAATTAGGGTTAGTATAAATACATCATCTAAACATACCAGCCACTTCCTTTAGTGAAGAAAACCTAGAGCTAAGAAGAGAATTTCACAAGCATACTTTTGTGTAGGATTTGATTTTCAAGAACAACTCAAAGAATAAACAATCAAAAGACTATTGTTGAATTTATCACTACAAAGTGAGTAAAAACCCTCTCTTTAATTGAAGAATAATCTTTGATTGATTTAGAAGGATTTGAATTAAGGTTGACGAGAAAAACCTAGAAGTTTTGTAGTTTTCACATGTCTCCGTGATTTAGCTTAGGTTGGGCTTATTGATTTTATTGATTATCAATTATTCAATAATTAAATATGATTATATGCTTACTTAGTAGTTGGATGAGGAGGTATTAGATTTTATGAATTGAAAAGGGAAATGTGCTAAAAGAATTGAGTTTTGTATATTGTACTGTCACTTTAAGTTTGATTTTATATTGATTTATGGAAGTTTTGCTATTTTAGTTATATATGATTGGAAAGCTACATGAGTTTAATTTCTAATGAACCAAACACAAGTGGATTCCAAGTTTCCTACGTAAAGATATGGTTATCTTTTTGTTAAGATAGTGCATACTTCTTGGCATCAATGCTAATGACAATATTGAAATTTTTTTGCATTTTCCCAACAAGAGTAGCGCACGTTTTGATACCATTATACCCCAACCCAAATAATTATTTGGGCTAAGGTACTGACATATCCCAAGTGAAACAAATAGGTTTTTAATATGATTGTGCCTAAACCATTTACATATGCTTAAAATTTATTGGAATGTAATTAGGATTAATATAAATACATCATCTAAACGTAGTAGCCACTTCTTTTAGTGAAAAAAATCCAAAGCTAATAAGAGAATTTCACAAGCATACTTTTGTGTAATACTTGGGGATTTTCAAGAGTAACTTAAAGAATAAACAATCAAAGACTATTGTTGGATTCATCACAATAACCTAAGTACAACCCTCCCTCCCTCCCTCCCTCTCTTTGTCTCTCTCTATCTCTCTTTCTCTCTCTCACACACACAATTGATATACCTAAATTTTCATTAGTTGACGATATACAAGTTGTTTATATGATCAATATAAATAAATCAAGAGAAAAAATGGTACATGGCTCAATGCAGCACTGATCACCTACATCAATGGTGTGTTAATCACCTTGAGTGTTGCCAACATGAAGAGCATCATGCCTTCATGGTAGCGAAAATTTTGAAACAAGTTGAATGTTAAGTCAACTTCAACAATAAAAATTAGCTAAAGATGGTACCCACACCATTTTTGTTAACAATGCAGTCATTTTAAATATTTAGCATAGAAGAAACTCTCATATTTTGCTCCATTTAGTGGCTTGTTCACATCATCCCAGTTCTTCACAAATTAAATAATGAACCTTTGTGTATTTAAACTTGGCGACTAGTTAATTCCATCTACAGAAGGCTTAGAAACTCCTAAACATCTTATAGGTTTGTATGATTTATGACGAGATCCTCATAGTACAAAACCATGTGATGGGTGATATTGAACTATTCTAAAGCCTTGACAGCAACCACCTCCACTTCTTTAAGATCACTTGTTAATGATGTAGAATTGATTATTGGCTTGTAACTTGAAAGAGGAGTAGCATCTTCCTACGAATGAACATGAGACTTGTGGGTTCTATTTAATAGCTTAGCATAAATATCATATGAATTCCCAAGCACTAAAACCATCCTTCGAAGCAAATTTCTTTGGAAGAGAATCATGCCCAACATTTGAAGTATTCTACTTTTTCTTTATGGTGCTCTATCAATCCTTGATTCAACATCCATTTAAAGCTAACTGCATCAGAACATTCATTCTTGGAAGCACTAGTAAACTAGTCTAAATTATAAACTTTCTCCAAAGTTTACATTAATATGACTATTTAGCAAAGTCTCAAACCATCCACTTCCTGACTTTTTCTATTAGAATGTAGCTCAAAAGGAATAACTTCAAAAGATGGGTGAGTTAAAGGTTTTCAAAAATTCTTGCAAACTTGAAGAGTAGAGTATTTTTTTTCTAAACCAATTAAGAATGAAAAGTTTCTTTAAAAATAATGAACTAAGTTGTAGAAATTCTTTTTCAAGTATTTCAAAAACAATTTGGAGAACAAATAACAATAAAAGCAATTTTAGAGAGCCAAAGAAAAAATACAATAATTTTACAGAGATTTGACGTCTTTGCCTACGCTTTCCCCTTTAGATCACTAAGGAGTTTAGAATCTATTATCTCAAAAATACTTTTCTAGGAAAAAGCATAATCCTCACAATCAGTCTTTTCAAAGGCTTAGACTTAACCCCTCTACCTTTTCACTTAATAAGATATAACCACTCAACAACACTATTTTTTCAAGGTTAAGATAGAACCTTTACAATCAATACAATGAGGATGAAAAAGAAAGCGTAAATGCCTTTAGAAGGTTGAATAATGCAATGAATACAAGAAAAACAAAACATTAAGGCTCTTGAAAGAATAAGGAAGCTTAAGGCTTAAGTAGCTTAATGAAAGAGCACTTTCATTTTGAGAGTGATCTTGGAGAAAACATGAGTTGGCCTTAGATCACTAAGGAGTTTATAATCTATTATCTTAAAAATGCTTCTCTAGGATAAAGCATAACTCTCATAATCAGTTTTTTCAAAAGCCTAGACTTAACCCCTCTATTTTTTCACTTGGTAAGGTATAACTACTCAACAACAATATCTTTTCAAGGTTACGATAAAACCTTTACAATCAATACAATGGGGATGAAAACAAAGGCTTAACAAACTTTAGAAGGTTGAATAATACAATGAATACAAGAAGAGCATAAAGGGTCTTGAAAGAATAAGAAAGCTTAAGGCTCAAGTAGCTCAATGAAAGAACATTTTGATTTTAAGAGTGATTTTGAACAAATCTTTAGTTGGCCTTGGATCACTAAGGAGTTTAGAATCCATTATCTCAAAATGTTTTTTTAGGACAAAGCATAACCCTCACAATCAATATTTTCAAAGACTTAGATTTAACCCCTCTACCTTTTCACTTGGTAAGGTATAACCACTCAACAACACTAGCTTTTCAAAGCTAAGATAGAACCTTTACAATTAATACTTACCATCCCTAAAAGGTCCAGTTAAGGAACACAATGTCGAGTGCTTCCTCCTTTCCATAGTAATGGAACAACGGAGGTGGTGATGTAGAATTAACTCCTTGGTAGTCCCTTTTCTTGATCACTCTCTCATCTCTACTAAAGAACAAAAGATCCAAATCTAGTAGCATTCCAGGGTAAAATCTTAGAAGCTGCAAAATGCCCCATTATGTAAACAAATCTCTAGTTTAATAAGGCTCGCCAGACTTGTCTATATTGACGTCGTTGTTGACAATCACTAATCTAAGCTCCGCATTTGTTTTTCCTATTTCAATCATGTTTTTAGTAATTTATGAACTCTTCTAGTGTTGCAAATCATTGTGGATCCACCGAAAGTAGTCAGGACATGTTTTGGTTGACAATTCATTAGGTTCAAATATTGATGGATAATTTTCAAGGTATTTTTATTGTAATCTTGGGTGAAAGTAGTTTAAAGGATTTTCAATTCTTGGCAAGTGCATTATGGCACTACTTCGTGAAAAAGAAATCATCCGAGTAAATGGATTGCGTTGTATAATAGACTGAGAAAAAAATAGGCAAAAAAAAAAGTTAAGTTGTTGCAATAATCTTCAAGCAACAGAACTTGATTTATGGGAATCTAATGCCTTTGATGTATATAATCCAATACCAATTTCATTCTTCTTGGGTTTATTGTCTAAACAATAAGTTAATAGTGTCGACATATACTATCAATTGAGTTAGTCTCTAGATGCTTTATATGAAGAATGTCTAGGGGCATCCATGTTTTCCCCTTCTTGTTTGCCAGAAATACTAGCATTTGCCCTTGCAAATTTAATGAGAAAAAATCTGTGCACCTAAGGTGCATTCAATGCACATGCTAATGAAAGGGATTCATATCAAAGTAACAATTAAGAAATTTAAATTTTCTTTTGTTAGAAAAATAGTATATTTCATAAGGTTTCAACATCCCACATTGCCCAAGTACAAGAGAGGTGAGTGCTTTATATATGAAAACCCATAATGGACTTATTGCAAGAAAGAAAAAAAAGTGAGCTTGTTCACACATGAGATAGGGCCAAGCCTTGGAAAAATGTAGATTCTCCTTCCTTATGCGTGAGTATACACGTGAGCTAAGCCTAAGTGATATTTTGTACCTTGGTGGTCAATTTTATTTTTTACCTTACCTAGACTTAGTCTTTTTCTGTGAAGAAAGAATTAGTTTTTGATTCATATTCTACCGTTATATATATGTTGTAACGTTAGACAAAATATTTTATCTTGATTTGGTTTTTAATTCTTTTAAGATATTTATAACGTTACAAAATATTTTATATTGATTTTCTCACGATTCTTTCAACCGTATCTCTTCATAATTATTTTACCTTACCTTGACTTAGTCGTTTTAATGTAAAGAAAGAATTAGTCTTTGATTCACATTTTGCCGTTATAATATTTTGTAACATTAGAAAAATAATTTTATCTTGATATAGTCTTTGATTCTTTTAGGATATTTATAACGTTATAAAATATTTTATCTTGATTTTCTCTTAATTCTCTTAGCCGCTTCTCTCTATAAATACAGCCTCCACGTTCATTCTCAACACACCACCAGTTCTCTCATATCCTGTAAAGCTTCTCTCCATGTTTCCCTTTTTCCTTGCTTTTCCACCAGGTTCTTTTTTTTTCTAGACAAGTCTTTCTGTTGTGCCCACTATCTCTTATTATTTTGCACAAATTAAAAAAAAAAAAAGTCTGTTGAATCCTGAAGGATAATCGCTACAGTCTTTTTGCATTGAGTTTTGTACTCTGAAGGGACAGAAATTATCTTTAAGGACAGTGATATCACATCTCAGACTTGTTTAAATTGTTTTTTCAGTTTTGTTATTTTTTCAACATGTTTTTATATTCTAAAAGTATTTTAATGATATCTAGCTATCAGTATTATTGGTATTAGTTGCATTTAAATAACGGTATTAATTTATGATGTTAAAAAAATAACGTTATTAATTATATTTGATCATTTTTGTTAATAGTAAATACATGCAATTTTTGTTTATTCACTCTTAGATATAGTTACAAATTTCATTTTTCCCAAATTTTACCTAATAGAAAAGTACTAGCATGAGTTGATGGATATATATGGAAAATAATGGTAGAGGAAGCAGAATTCAGGGAAAACTTACCACATACATCAAATGAACCAAGGTAGTAGTAAAGAGGAAGAAGAAGAAGGATATGCAAGTAGTTGTGAAAACCAGTCTCTTGACCCGTCCAAGACCAACCTTGGAAGCAACCACAGAATTGATTACCATGACGCCAAAAGCCATTAACATTGTTTGCCATGGAAATAAGCAAATGATACACTCAGAGGCAAAACCTTTAAAGATTTGAGATTACTCCTAGTGGTGCTAAGATTCACAACTTTGATTCAATAGCCAATGTTTGGGTTGCGATATATAGAAAAAACATGGGGCAAAATAAAGAATGTAGGATATGGATTTGAAGATAATATGGAAATCAAACCATGTGTAGTATGTGTGCTTCCTTTAAGCCAATTGCTTTCTATGTTTAATTTTAATCCTTAATCTATATGAGGTAAGATGCACGAAATGCATTTGTAGTTGCACTCATATACCATAAATATGCTATCAAAATTTAGGAGGATGAGATGTTAGCTAAACTATATTTGGAATTACATACACAATTTCAGCTCGAGAGAGATTTTTGAAGTTTTTAACTTAGATACTTTTCTTAAATTATTCATTTTAATTTATCGTTTGGTATTATTCTATTGATCTATTTACAGATTAAAGTACTAGGACTAATCAAATTCAAAGAATCTAGTTAAAGAAATGTACAAGGATGAAGACTGACGATTTTTTATTGGGTTTGAGACAAACAATTCAATCCCATGTCCAAAAATAATAATAGTTTTAACTAAAATAGATCATGGAATTAATAGTTTCTACAAAACAATATATCTTAATAGCGAACTTATTAATACACACTTAAACTTTAAAATGAAAAAAAAAGAAAGAAAAAAACAACTAAGTTATGTTGTTCAAAAAATACCTTTCATGCTAATGAATGCCGCTATGCTATCTTCGATTATAATTTCACTACAAATGATAATTGTCAAAAAAGCAAGATTTTCTTATTTGCATTGTATATGGAAAATAAAGCTTCATATTGTTTCTCTTTGTTCCTTTCTTGAAGGATTGTGTGTCAACAGAACCTTTTAAGATGATTTATGGGCTTAGAAAGGGGTGTCAATTGTCACCGCTTCTTTTTAATATTATGATTGAGGCTTTTAGCTAGATGATGGACAAAAAGGAGGCTATGGTATTATGTCATAGATTCCCATTGGCACTAACAGACTAAGCATCTATAATTTATTGTTCACTAATGATACCATGATTTTTTACGAATAGGAATCAGAGAGCCTCTTAAATATTAAATAGATCTTAAGCTACTTCTAGGCTATCTTAGGGTCTAAGATCAATTTTCATAAAAGTTGTTTAATGGGTGTGGGGGTTGATGAGTTGTTCGTTAGGGAAGGAATAGAAAGCATTGATTGCAAAATGTGTGAAATCCTCATGGTGTACATTAAATTGCCACTAAGGGATAATCAAAATTCGATGCAAATGAGCAAAACCAATCATTGAAAAATTTAAGACTCGATTCATGGGATGGAAAGCCAAGGTTGTATACATTTGTGAGGCAGTTACACTTTTACGATTAGTCTTTGCTAGCCTACTTATATTTTTCACGTCCATCTTTCAAATGCTAAAAAGAGTGATAAGGGAGTTAAAGAAAATTGAGAGGAGATTTTTATGGAGCGGGAATAAAGAGAGATGTAAAATTCATTGCACAGAGTGGGCCGAAGTGTGCAACTATAAGGAAAATAGAAATTGGGTATCATTGATTTAGAGTTAAAAAATAGATCTCTATTAAACCAGTGGCTTTTGAGGTAAAAGAGTGAGGGAGTATATGTGGAGAAAGGCCATAGCAGAGAAAGTAAGAGAGAACCCCATCAATCTTCTGCTAGAGGCAAACACAAACAAAAGGTACTCTACAATATAGAAAAATATCCTAAAACCCCCATCTCTTGCAACTTTTTTTCATCTAGGTGAATTTCAACATGTAAATGGTTTTGGCTGATGACAGCAAAATTCTTTTCTGGTTTTATAGGTGGGTGGAAGAGGGGTACCCTCAAGCAAATTTTCCCCGAAATATTCACCCTTCCAAGCAACAAAAAAAGGTGCATTAAGGAGTATGGTAGATGGGAGGGTGAGGTTTGAGTTTGGAATTTGGAGTTGAGGAGACAACCATTCAGTGACTTCTGCTCAAACTATTTTGCTAACTTTCTGTAAATGTACATAGGTTAATCCAATTGAAACTTGGGGGGCAACCATTTTTCTGAATTGTGTATGTAGGTGGAAGGGTTTATGGGGAATGGTTGTATCTGACAGATTAGGGAATTTTATTGTGTTTTTGGGGTATTGGTCGAGCAATGGTCGTAAAGGGCTTACTGGACGGAAATGGTTGTAAATGAATGATGAGGCTGGGGTGTTGATTCCATGTGTTGTTTTTGGTTGGTAAAGGGGTTTGTAGGGTGAGATTTTTGTTCATGTGATCAGGATCTTGGCATGATATTGAAGGCTTTATCGTAAGTCAAAAGATTTTGGGAAAATATACTCATAATGGGAGCGTATGAACCAATATCCTTCTGACCCCTGCCAAGGGTAAATCACTAGTAATGATACGGTTACTGCTTTTAAAAACAAAATAAAATTGTTCCTTAGAACTTAATATGAGACTTTTGTAAGATGACTAATTTATTAATTTGGAATATTTTTATTATGCAGGATTGTTAATTTTGATTTATATGTATATTTTTAATATTAAAGATTAAGTTTTAAATGTCTTGCACAATTGATAAAATTTTTAAAGTTTAAGTGACGTGGAAAAATATTTCGCCCAAAATTGATTTAAACAATAAAAATTATTTTTGACAATTTATTCCACAGTTCATCGAAGAATACATGTAAAATATTTTACACACTATGTTTTTCTCCAATAAATTATTTTATTGTTACAAAACAGACCATAAAATCTTTTTAATTTAAATTTCATTTTCAATCTTTCAATAGAAACTAAGTGCTGAAAATATTTTTCGAAAAATATCCTCCCCCCTTGTGGGTAGATACTAGAGAGGACTATCACAGAAAACAGAATGCCTTTGTTCGCCCAAATAACTCTATAATATGACCAACAATTACCCTCGGTTTGGTTATAATTAACCATTAATTTAGTGATAAGCATGAGTTCCACCACATGTATACCTATCCACCTGAACTCTGGTTGATATTTGGTGAATAAACCTTAATACCTTGTTCATACAGCTTCAACAACATTACCAAAGCAGAAGTAACTGTAGAGAGGACCACCATTTCCATTTTCTTCTTTTTCCTTTTAGGGGCAATGGAACCAAAACTGGGATGAATATCCTTTCTCAATAACCTTTTGAGTTAATTCAAACTCGAATATTTAGCCACAAACCACATTGTAAAACAACTAATGTCAATAATTTAATATCTAACTTAATAACCAAACCAAAATAGTCTAGGCCTCAAAGCCTAGCAGTATCCAAACATTAAAAAAAAAAAAAGGAAGAACAACCCAAAGATCCTTCAACATTTTAAACAAAATCTTAAAAAGGCTTGGAACTCCTACAAGAGAGCAACTAATCTGTGGCGATAAGTTGATATTCTGATTACTCAAAGCATCTAGAAACGACCAATTCCCCAAACTCTGATTACACCATCTGTATACCCGCTAAACAAGGTGCTTCCATCAGCACTCCAGTTCAAGCTTGTGCAGTATATGATCTGCAAAATCCAGATAAATGTAAATTTTAATTGTTTGCAACACAATGAACATAATTCTATCACTATCCTGACTAAGCCAATTGCTGAATCATAGCCAATAAAACCAAGGTCATGAATCAGAAGTCAGTAGAATCATTAAACCAACTTCTACATGCTATAACCAATGAACCAATCCAAGATATAAATTAACACAAAACAAAAAACCCTTTGCTTTACAACTTGAAAAACAAACAAGATTCCATGTACCAATTCTACCATGAGATTTAATAACAAGTTTCCTACTTTGAGCATTACAATAGCAAGTTTTGAAACAATGAACTTCATTGAAAGCATAATAATAAATTTTGCAGCAATGCAGAACATGCTTAATGAGCAAATAACTCCAGATTCACAAGCAAGAAGATAAAAGCTAAGTTCATATATGCTCAAAAAACATTCAATAAAATTGTAAAAAATCACAAATTTTTAGCAAAAGTGAAATAAACAATTATAACAGATTGCAAACGCAACTACCATCCTTGTCTTACTGAATTCATGGTACATAATTCATATTGAGATTATAATATAAACTGCATTAAATTCTAACAGAGCAGCCCCATTCCCATTAATGTATTCAGAACAAACATAATTAAAAGTAATCAACATCATCACAGGTCAAAATACAAATGCAGGATGATGGAATAGCTAAAACACTTCTTCCCAACAATTAGTCACAGTAAAGCAGCATTGCATCCAAAATTTCTACCAAAAATATGACATGCCAATTGTCAGACAAACCAAATCAAACCAGAGCTACATTTCAACATTCAATCAAAATATTTGGAATAATAATGATAAAAAATTATTATTACCTTCTTCTTGTTTGCTGTGTCGGTGACATCAGACTTCTCAGCCTCAGCCTTGAGATCAACCTTCAAGTCCTCCACAATGCTCTTGCTCTCCAGATCCCAGATCTTGATACTCTGCTCCGTGGCAGCGCAAAGCCAGTACCTGTTGGGACTAAAGCAAAGCGAGTGAATGACCGCACCCGCATCAAGACTGTAAAGCTTCTTTCCTTCGGCCAAATCCCACAACAGAATCACTCCATCTTTTCCTCCACTGGCACACAAAGACCCATCAGGCGAAACCGCCACCGTGTTCACATAACCGGAGTGTCCGGTCAATGTGTTACGAATCTTACAGTTGGTCAGGTTCCAAACTTTCACGGTCTTATCCCATGAAGCCGAAACGATGGTGGGTTGGAGAGTATTCGGGCTGAAACGAACACAGCTCACCCAATCGGTATGAGCATCGCCGTCTTGGATTGTGTATTTGCATTCTCCAAGGGTATTCCAAAGCTTGATAGTTCGATCACGAGAAGCCGAGACGATCTGACGGTTGTCAATGGAAAAGGCAACGGAGAGCACATCTTTGGTGTGGCCGACGAATCGACGAGCGGAGGTTCCGGCGTTTAAGTCCCAAAGACGAAGCTCACCGTCCCAGGAACCGGAGAGAGCGAACTGGGAATCGGATGAGAGGACAACATCTTGGACGAAATGAGAGTGGCCGGTAAGACGACGGCGTGGGACACCGTAGGTCTTTTCGTCTTTGGTTAACTGCCAAAGGATGATGGATTTGTCGCGAGAGGAAGTGACGATCATGTCGGAGTTGTCGATGGGGCTGGCGATGGCTGTCACCATGTCGGTGTGGGCTCGCATGGTGCCGCGGAGTACCAATGCTTCGGAGACGGCCATTTTCTTTTGGCGTTAGGGAGCGGGGCGGCTTCTAGGGTTTTTCAAGGGAAAATCAGAGGCCAAGGAAGAGTTTGAGAAACGAAACTGACTGAGTATAAGAAGTATATATAGTACCGACCGGTATATGGCATTAGGGTTTTGGAGACAAACAATACTCCCCTCTTTTGTTTTTGTTTTGTTTTTTTTCACTAATTTTCTGACTATTTGGCATTTCATTTGGGCCTTCCATGTTTGCTCGTCAAAATTTGGGTTGAATCCTATATTATCCCAAACTATTAAATTTAGTTTCTATTTTATTATTTAGATAAATTGAGTTTTTTCCATTTTACAAAATTAATTGATTTTAATTTTAGAGAAAATTGTAAGTGATGATCATCCTCAAAAGCCCATTTCAAAAATAATGTTCAATATAAAATTAATTGCTTTTATCCAATTTTAATTATAAGATAACAAAAAAAAACTCTTAAAACTATTTTAGACAAATTATATGTTTTTAATTTTTTTCTCCTCCCATGAGTCTGCTATGCTCCCATTTTTCTCTTTCGCCATCCAATTTTCTCTAATTTTACCGCCATCACCATTTCTCTATTTATTTTTAATCATATCGTTATCAATCTACAGATCAAAGAGTACGACATAGAAAGTAGTAACATATTTTTAAGTTTATTGGTTTACATTCACAAAATCCTCTTCTGTTTATCTTTTGTCATATCGTTATATCATCATTGATCTACAAATTAAAAAGCATGACATAATGAGTAACAATAGGTTTTTGGATTTATTGGTATTGAGTTTTTCAGTGATTCAGATTTGATTGAACATGTTTTGACATGTAACAAAGTGATTCATGCCTTAATGTGTAACATCAGTAAGAAGGAAGATTTGGCGTGTAATATCTGGTGTTAACACTTTGACCTAAGCTTATAACATTTGGTACTAAAGCTTTGACCTTGGCGTGTAATATCTAGTATTGAAACTTTGACCTTAGCGTGCGACATCTACTACTGAAGTTTTAATGTGCAATATCTTCTGCTAAAGTGTGTAACATCAATTTAGGCTTGTAATGTCATTTTGTTTTTCTTTTCTGTTATTTTTAACTGTTGTAGATACATTTATAAAGTTGTGTGTATGTGTGTGTGTGTGTGTGTGTATATATATATGTATAAATATATCTAAAAAACCCTGAATGAAGGTGAGGAAAAGTTTTTCCTCCAAAGTTGCTAATCCCTTACTCTATTAATCTTCTTCTTTTTCTAAAAGTTTTCAAAGTTCTTATTTTTTTATAAAATTTTCTTCAAAAATCAATAATTGGTTTACATTCACAAAACCTAAAAGTTGATAGATTGAAATTATAAGTGAAATAAAATCTATAAAATAATAAAAAAAATTTGAACATGACGTGTAACAACGACATTTATTAAACATAGTATATAACTTGCTTCTTTATATTTCACTACAACATAAACTCTTTGAGTTAAAAGTGTAACACTTTTTTTCTTTCAATGCAACAATTTTTTTTGAACATGGTATGTAATAATAACATTTTTTAAACATAGTGTGCAACTTATTTTCTATCTTTATATTTCACTAAAATATAAATTTTTGAAGTTAAACACCTTAAAGATAGAGATAAACTTTAAACCAAAATGAAATTTGACATGAAAATGAAGATATTTAAAAAAATTATTCAATGTCATTGTTACTACTGAGATGAAATGGATTTGGACAAAAAAATATTATCCAAAATCTTTTGATTTAGGTAATTAGCTTTTAGATTATTTTATTTGTTACATTTCTTGTAATCATAAAAAATTTGACATGTAATAATTTTTTTTTCAACATAACATGTAATAATATTTTTTGCAACACATGCACTAGAATATAAGGAGTTTTCATTAAAGGTAACTTTGTTCAAAAATCTTTTCTCTCGGCTAAAAACAGTTAAAATTAAAAAAAAAGTTATTTTCAAAAATACTTTATCGTGAAGGGTAAAAAAAATTGTCCCTTAATTTTGTTAGTCTTTCAGTGTTAAATTTGATGATTGACACTTATGTGGTTATTTTAAATTGAATATAAAAATGCCATGTCACATTTTTTAATTGTAAAAAAAATGTTACTGTGTCTTTTTTATAGGCATCATGTGACTTGCAAATTGATCAAATTTGATGAACAATATGTAATTATTTTTTATGATTACTCAAAATTAGAAACAGCAAAAAAGGAAATTCAAAGTAAAAATATAGAAATGGTTTTAATATTTTTCATATAACTTTCTTTATATTTTTTCTAAATTAACATCCTTTAGATAAATTTTGTTTTAATATTAGATTATGCCATTAAATTTACCCAATAAAAATATTAAAATATTTTAAAGTGTGCCCAAAAAAGATAGCTTTTGAATTAAGGGTATTTTAGTAACTTTGTGAGTGAAATTCCTAGAGTAACTTTTATAGGAACATAACTTAATCATAAAGTACTAATTAGGAAAAAATAAATCACAAGAGTGCCATTTGCAAAAACTTGAAATCATGAAAAATATAGGTGAATTGTTCATCCAAAAATGAAGGAGAAATAAAGAGATAACGAAAAAAGAGAAAGTAGTTAGAGAGAAATTGTTGACGTGGAGAAATTTGGGATATCTGCTTGCTTAAAAGGTTTTGAGGAACACAAAACCCATGAATGTAAAAAAAATGGAGGAAGAATGAGAAAGAACAAAATGAGAAGGAAGTAGACTTCATAATTTTGGACACTTGCAAACAAGATCAAACATAGTACGAAGTTAAATGGATTTGAATTTTGCATAATCATGTTCATTTCATAATTGTATCAAACAACTTAAAACATGAAAATTTTTGTATCATATGGAGGTATAGAGGTTGACTCATCTAACTCATTTAAACACATTTAATTAATCATATTAATAATTTAAGTAATATAACTCAACATATCTAACCCATTTAAACATACTTATTTTATTATGAATATTTAAAACATATATAATGACTTTATTATTCATGTTTATATATTGTAATTGTGTTATGTCTAAGTAGGTTAATTGTCTTGCATTGTATACAAGACTCATTAATAAAATTTGTCAATTTTGTCATGTTTAAACAGATTAATCATATTCAAATAAGGTTAATTGTCTTGTGTCATGTGCAAAATTTATTAATTAAATATATTAATCTTGTCACGTCATGTCATATAACTCATGTAATAAGTGTACCATATTTATGTTACAGATTTTGACACCATTAATTAATCGTACTAAACCATTTACCATTTAATCCCTTTATTTAAACACAATAAGATTTATACCTTATCAACACGAATTGTTAAGCCTTAGTAAGAGGATTTGGGAGAAAAAATGCAAATGAGAAAGAGATATGTGACAAAGAAATGGTTAAAGTACACATAAAGTCTTGATACTATAACATTTTGTTCAATTTAATCCATCTAGTGAAAATTTCTTTAATTTAGTCCTTTTACTCTAACATTGGGTACAATTTGATCCTTATGAGTAACTCTATCTAAATAGACCATTAGAGACACTGGCATGGCCTTAATGTGTCCAATGTTATTGACATGACGCTGATATGTCAAAAATAAAAAATTAGGTAAAAAAATTGACTGCTTGGCTTTTCTTTTTCTTTCTTCCTTTTTTTTCTTCTCCCCTTGGCCCAAAACTACATCATTTTAATAAGGCTATTTAAAGCATTTTTAGTTATTTTTTCCCTTATTTTTCCTCCTCTTTCTACCTTGCCCTTCTATCCCCAAGATTAACCCTTCTAAATTCAAATTTTGATCACTAGTTTGCTTTGATCGAAAATTCCAAAAAAAAAAAAATACAAACCTCCTTTTTTGTGATCTTGCCCTTAATTGGGATAGATTTTTTTTAAAAAAAATCCTCATTTTCATAGATCTTAAAAAGAAAATCATCTTAATTAGACAAAATAAAAATGTAGAGGTAACAAACAAAGATCAATGGAGTAAGCTACATGGGTATAAACTAAATTTAAATGTAGCTATCTTTGAATACAATAATACAAAGGTCGTGGGAGCAAGATTCATTGTTGGGGGATTGAATGGGGAGGCAATCTTAGCTAGTGCAAGACAATTTGAGATTTAAACTATTATTCCTAATGCAGAGCTATGGGCATTAGTGTGGGCGTTGAAGAGATGTGTGCAGGAAAATGTTGACGTAAATGAAGTCAAGATTGATTGTGCACAAGTGGTGAGTTGGGTTAAGTTGAAAAACTATAATGGTGGGTTGGGGCATGTGAGGGAAGATTGTCGAATGATTATGAAAAATTTGAACTATAATTTAATTAATCATTGTAGACAAACGGTGAACATGGCAGCCGATATGTTGGTTTATGAGGCAAAACTATTAAAGGAAAAACAATTGATATGGAGACTGTTTGATAATATGCCAAGCAAAGTTAAAAAATTCATTTTGCCATATGAAAATTAACTGTAAATGTTAGGAGTGAGCAAATGTCAGTTCGATCAATTTTCGATTCTGTTTTTGGCAAAACCGATAAAAAATTTTAAAGTTCTAACCAACCGAATCACATAAGATATAAAATCGATTTCGGTTAATTTTTAGGAGCTTCAGTTTGGTCAGTTTTGGACTGATAATGACCAATTGAAGAATGGAAGAGAACCCACTTGGTTGGTGGCTGCTGGTTTAGGGTTAGATGAGAAGGAGTCTGGAGAGGCAGAAAATGGGAGATTAGGTAGGGGAAAGGAAACAATTGCAGCCATATATAGCAGAAGGGCTGCTTTAGGGGGTTAATAAGGGCACTTTTATCTTTTCGCCCCTAAAACAAAAACCTAACCGTCGGTTATTCGGTCGGTTCAGGGGGGAAGGAGGTCCCCCCCCCCCCCCCCCGACGGTCGAGCCGATCGGCTAACAAGGTCGATCAAAACAACCGACGGTTACAATAACAATCGTCGGTTACAATAACCGGTGATTACGGTCAATTGCTTGGTTGTAATTGATCGCTGCACAATCTTAGTAAATATTTGCTATCAAGCTAAAAGGAAGGAATCTGTTGCTATGTAATGAAGAGCATGTTAGGAAGG